TCATCAGTAGTATCTCAAAACAGTCTGGTCTGGCATTTGGGATTCGAGTCATTACGATTTGTTCTGGCGTGCCATCTTTGCTCCGTTCCTGATATACAGTCGCTTGAGCAACGGTTAATCTGACAGTCAGCCTTCCTAAAAGTTGTCTAAACATTTGTATCTTAAATAAATAAAAAAGGAAGTAAAACGACATTCATTCACTATCTGATGGGCTCTCACGGAATCTGGCAGTGGCATTATTGAGGTGCACCTCCTTAACTCACTTTTCATCGTATTATGGCTTCAAATTTACCCATCAAATACTTGTAAGGAAGATGTCGCATTTTGATTAGGCGAATGAGAAAGCTTTTTTGGCGTGCCGTTTCCCTGTGATCACGGCCCAGTCCTGAATAAGGACTTAATAAAAATCAGAGACAGCGGTTGCAAGAACATATTAAGAATTTACAAAAACACTTCATCTCTGAAAAATGCACACATCGCATTTGTGACAAGATAGTGTTGCTGTTTACTGAACATCCGATTTGACTGAATTTGGTTGTTGGCATGGGGAACGCTTGTGGTACGACAGTCACAAATCTTTTTCGATTCACTGATAATCATCCACCAGTTCATGGTAGGTTTTCATGTTCCAGTGGATTGTTCTCCTATGGTTCTCGGAAGAACACTTTTATTGGTTTTGATTATCACCATTTCATACGTTAACATATGAGTCTGTTCATATGTATATGTATATAAGTTACACCTGATTCAGTGTGTGTTTTAGTAGTCAAATACAGGTAGTATTTCACAAGGGTGGATGATGCAGCAAGTTCAGGGGAAAAACATGTGTGAAACAAAGAAACAAGGGTGTTGGCGCATTCCGGTACATGGCAGAGAAAATCTGACCTTGGTGTGTAGCATACAGTAAGTCGTGCGTTCAACCAGCCTCTGTGGGGACCAAACTCAGCGGGGGGGGGGAGAATGATTAAAGGCAAGGGGGAGAAAACACACAATCCCTTGCCCGGAGAATGTAGGAGAATGGCGAATCCGATCACAGTATTACACAAACTCGGATTGTTCATTAAAAGATTGCAAGGTGCTCATCGGATGAAGTCCAGCACACGTGTGATCTGCTGAGAACATGGCACAGTCACATGATTGGGAACAACTGGAGGCTTGGCTACTGTCAAGTAATTCAATCAGATTATCTGATTTTGGTGTCCTCGTTCGGGTATTCATCATCAACTGCGTCGCCTGAGTTCCCGAATGCCCTGGATGCGGATGAGATTGTTCTGTATTGGACGGTTGGGTTTGGGGATGCGATGATGAAGGTAATGCGGGAAAATTGATCGGATTCGGTGAATGACGTGAGCAAACTGCGAGTTGTGTGCTTTTGCACAACCGGGAATAACCGCATGGATCCTGGTACGGTTCCATTGCTGTTCGATTGACCAGATCNNNNTGCGAATGGATCCCCGGTTGATACAAGAGGGGAATGGCTGGGTCCGGATGGATTCCTCGTCGGAGTGCAAAATACGTGACCTTGGTCCCGTAAAAATGTAGAAACTGTCCGGGAATCTGCTTTACCTTTGCTGGAGGTACCTGCATTCGTCAGGGTCGTCCAGTTTGAAGGTACAATAGAAGTTAGACAGTAATGTTTTCAAGTGGCAAATGAGAAAGGCATTTAAAATGCTAAATGTATACGCACGTGTAGATAGGTAAATTGAATGAAGTAGGGGTACCCTTTGTTAAACCGTTTTATTGCTAAATATTAGGAATAAACGAGCCAATTTTGAAGTGAGTCTATTTTTCATTGATCGGCTCTGTACTATCTGACATTCGTAAACACGTCTTCTTTTAAAGAACGCGCTGTTGTTGTGTCATTTTTATTTCACTCAGCTGGCCTCACCGATACATACATATTAGAGCTACGAGGTGATTAGAAGGAAATTACAACGCGCAGTTCACCGAAAAGCGACGTGGAATGGTCAATGTCTAGATTTTTCAGTATTCCCTTCATAAAAGAAACATTTGTTCTCCGGATGCACTGCAAAAAGAATATAATTTTCTGAGTAGAATATCGCTAAACAATGGTTACCCAGAAAGGTTAGTAACAGATATTCACAGCAGACCATTCCTAAAGGGTAGCAAAACCGAAGAAGTTAGCAAAACGGCCATCTGCATAAAGCTTGCCTTATTGGGTGACCATATTTCCGATAATGTGCGTCATAGGTTGAGGTCAGTTCTAGACCCTACATTCCCAGCCGCACAACTCAAACTCATTACATCTACTCGGACAATCGATCTGAACAAACGTAAACATGGCTGAACAGCCGGTTCTGTCTGACACACTGTATGCCAGTTCACCTGCAGCTGCGTTGGCGTATACATAGGCAGAACAAACCGTCAGCTCTCGCAATGGATGGTAATTAGGGAAATCCATGACGCAACCGATAATTGATTGTCCGGTGATCACAAGAAATCTAGGGTCATCTGTTGCAAAACATGTGATGGTAACAAGATACACGGTTGGCTTAAATTTGTCTTTCAAACCAATATTGCGTAATCACAATGCTAAAACTTTGAAATAAGTGAGGCAATGCTTATTCGACTACATCACCCGACGTTGTGTTTTTTTATACAATCAATCCACTTACAGTAGAGTTGACCATTTACTTCTATATTTAGTAATCTTTGTTTGCCTGTACAAGTTCATCCACCGTAATTGAACACCCCGATGTGCTATATATGTGCCTGTTTATTTTAAGTCAGCGACTAAGCAGATTAAAAGAAATGCTAACATCTCGCGAAATTTGACTTGTCTCTGTATGAATGAAATGGATGAACGGGGCTCAATGTTTCAAAAATAACACGGTCTGGTCGGTCTGGCATGTTTGATTCTGTCCCATTGAATCTAAGTCTATCACGATCAAGATAAGCCCATTAAATTATTGTGGCATACTCCCGGTCGTGATTCAGAGTATGGATAAACCAACTGCACCATACCTTTCAGTGATAAATGTGACAAAATGTGATTATTTCAGTTGGAATGTTTTATTCTTGATATGGTTGAAGTACTACAGCAAGGCCGGGATATGCTAAATTTACTTTTCCTCTCATGTGCAAACCACTTTGAAAAGATGGTACAGTTTAGCTGTTTCCGGGACATGGGAATAGGTACGAGTACTGACGAATTTCTTACTGCATATTTTTGCTGTCCACTTCTCCCATACCGCGATGAATCAGCCGAGATTTATCACAAGTCTTGAGCATAAATCATTGCGTGGAGTTTATTTGAAATAAATGAAAAGGAATTTGACGGATCCTGAAACTACCGGCATCAGCAGCATTCATCTTCGATATTTTACTTGACATGTTCTATCTAACCCAATAGTAAGTATCCTGTGGGCCTGGATAACTAACAGATGTTGGCTTATGAAACACAGAAGCAAACTATGTTTTTCTCGATTCTAAAATTGATCTGGATAATTGATTGCTCATAGAGTGATGAATGGCTTTTAGGATTGTGAAGTTTCAGAAAATAACTGCATTTTAATGTTTTTGGGTTATTTCAATGTTTGAAACAGCTCAGTAATTCCACATTCATTACATGGTATATTTTGTCACGTACGGATTCAAGGAGATATAAACTGAAAAGCTCGGAGATAGTGCACGGCTATTTAAGCCCGACTGAGTCTCATGTTTCGCACAAATCCATCGACTTAACTGAAAACTGAAATGGACAATTTACAGGCAAAAGGCAATCATCATGGTTTCAACCTACTTAACTGGCACTTACAGAAGATTTGCGATGGAGACTGCGCAGTTCGAGGTTTGGGGTAATAAACAACATTCATTATAGATCGCTGTTAACCCAAGAATCCTGCCCAGCAAATCCTTAATTTTCACTGACAAAAGTACTGCAATATTCATTTGGCTCTCGGTAAATGATGCGATGCTAATGTTATTGTTCGTGACCCTGCCACCAAAACATTTGAGTTAACTGAAAGTTCCCAATACATAAGTTCCTATAAACGTTGAAAACATCATTTCAAGGCCGACATAAAACTTGTATTTTCTATCCAGTTGGTCTTGCCTATATTTATCACAGCTTTGTAACCTGAATAACGGTCGAATTACCTTCCGGAAGATCTCGGCGTCACCGGACTGTTATGAGAAATCAATCTTGGGAAAGGTGCAATACCTGTGGGAAAACAGGGTGTGCCCTGACCACTAACAATTGTCCAATGCAAATTCGTTTCCTCAGGGAAACACATCGCGTCCATAATCAATATAGAGAAGTTCCGTAACGATAAATGACTTTCTTTAATACAACAAAAATAACAGTTGCACTACTCACTTTTTCCAAGGATTGAGAGTGTATATGTAAAAGGTGAATCCATATGACAAATGCTTCACTTAGTGTTTGCAGTGATCGAGATATACGCAGAACGTCAGTTCTGTTAGCGAAGCTGGGCGGCTGCATAATCAGCAGTGACTTTTGCAGATGATTTCAGATACTATCCTCACCCGCTACACATACAACAACTCTGGGTTTCGATCTGAACGTCGCAATAAACATTTCTGTGCAAATTTCCATTCTCTGTCCCTATTTCTGGACACAGATATATACATAGCTAAAAGAACTTGCTCACAACTACTGTGCGATGTAAGTGAGTCAGGACCATTCAACGTTTTCGCAAAATGTGAGATACGAAATCACGCTATTCTTTCAACTACATACATTGTACGCCTAACCGTCTGCTAAATTAAACCAAAATCCAGTTACTCCATATCGTCAGTTCAGAATTTTAATGCAGCTAAACCCAGTTATATTTGGAGGATGCAATCTAATATCGTATAAACATAAAGTTTACAAATTTGAGAGTGTACCGAAGTTTTCACAATCGTTTTGAATAATATCCCTCTTATTCACATGTAGCGCATATTAATTTTCTGTATATCTTTGTTAATTGCAATTTGTAATTATAAATTAGTTAATCGTAGTGTCCGCATTGCATTCAACGGCTCGTGTTGTACATACCTCTTGATGAAGGTTCCGGGGTTTTAGGATCCAAAGCTGAACCAACTCGATTTTCGCTGAGGTCTTGAATCCGCTGGTTTTGTCCACCAAACTTTTGATCCCACTGATGCAGTTAAACAGGGGGTAAAGAGATAAATAACAAAATAATTCGTGCATGTGAATACGTCCAATCTGCCTCGGAGTATTTAAATTCTGTAAATGATAACATTCCTTAGGATAGATTAACTACCAATTATCTGTGTATTCGTCTATCGTAGGTTAAAAATAGATTCAGATNAGATGCTCTCCAACTATCCGTGATCATGATGTCATCATCCTCCTGGGAAGCGGGTATGGACTTCAACATACAGAGTACGTTTGATTGGTACGTGCCTTGTTTTCGAATAAAATCGTCAAATGCGTGATTACTTGCATCCTTTACCACTACTTCCTTCCCGCTACTCCGCTTGATACATATTTCCCCTTGACTGAAAATAATAAACTCCTTGAATTGAATTCCTCGATAGATGTAGTGGTGGGATCAAGAACGTCGTGGTTGACTTGGATAGCATTGCTTCTATTGTTCCCGATCATGTTGATAGCAGTTTTGGGCTGGTTAAAAAGCCAACGAAATACGTCATGCAGTTGTGTATGCTCCAAATTGAAACACTTTTCTGCTCGCCTCACTATGTACCTAATCAGTAACCTGCCAGAGTTTCATCGGGAAAAGTTTTTTGACGGTTATAGCGAAACATTGTTTGCCTGATTCGTTTTTTTGTGGTTTGCCCGTATTTTTAACTCGCACGTCGCGTTGATGACAGAAAAATGTATACCACAACCTAAAGAAAATCTTTTGAACAGCTAGAAATTCACCTACGGGATGCATTAATCTTAGTGTACCTTAACTCTGCTCTGCTTGTGTGTTGGTGGCCCGGTGGTTAATCCGTTAAACTATCACCCCAGAGGACCTGTGTTCGAATCCGCNCTAAATTTCCCCATTGTGTATTTTATGGTAGCTCTTTGAATGAGTGCTTCTTTCTTTCTGAAAATTGCACCATTATGTATTCATTAAAAAGGTGAAAATGAGAATGCACAGAAAGAAAACATGTGGGAATATCAAATAAAAGGATTTCAATAAGCGGCAGCGACGAGGATCTATCTAAACATTTATATCTCCTTACTTCCTTTTTATTTATTGAATATACAGATTTACAGTCAACTCTCAGGTAGGGGTTCCCGGTCATACAAAAGCTGTCTGGGAAAATATAGAAATGAGGACGATGGGTAGCGATGGAATGTTTCGAACCCGGGGCTCACTATTTTGATGACTGTCACCCCCTGACCAACAGCACCACACAAACAACCCAAAATGCAAAAACGATTACTTTCGCAAGTCTGTTCTTTAGGTCCATCTATAAAGTAGATTATCAACCACATTGTCATGATGAGCACCAAATAAGAATGAATAAGAGGATATAAGATTTGAAGGCAAACTTTACCGGGGAATCTATGTGAAAACCGTTTAAAAGTTCAAAATACTGTCACAGGCTTCATATCTCAAATTTTGAAAAAAGTATCTATCTTAATTGACCAGAGATTTATTTTCCCACTTACGCTCTCAATCATTTACAATAGAGAATTACTGAAGGCATTATTATACACCAAATAAGTGATATTAGATTCCAGCAATTGTCACCCGCAATATGCACTATTTCAATTTGGATTTGTGGCACATATGATTGGGATGCACTTTATCGCATTAGAAGTACAGTGGAATTCCACGCCATTGCAAGTAGTTTATTGGCATTTATTGACCATTGATAGTGTGTGCTTTTGGATGGCCGTTTAGTCTGAGTTGTTCTGACTGACAAGCATCGGGCTTCGATACGGGTTTCTCCGTCTGACTTCCGGTTGTGCTCACCCGTTCTTGGTTCCGTTTCTTTTATAAAACATACTCCATTCGGCATTCGAGCGCTTCTTCACTTCGTCCCGAGACGATATATGTATGTTTCCACTGTTGCCCATTGTTAATTGCTCACTTCCGGCGGTATGTCACACTAAATCGACGTTAATTTCACTTACAAGAGGTAGAAGGACTCGCTGTCTCTACGGCTTCTCGTGTGTGCGTGTGTCCACCATTGTTTAAGCGTGTTTGTGTGTCTGTGTGCGGTTCGATCTAGTTGCAAGACGTATCTGCTCGTTTAATACCACTCTTCCTAGGTGGCCAGAATAAAACCACCAAACCTTCATCATCACCATCCTATACATTTTCGAGCACACGACAGCAACTGTGTGTGTGTGCGTGTGTGCGTTGAAGTCACTACTGAATCGAGGCGGCGATAAAAAGATGCGTCAATCGGTTTGACTTGATGTCATTATATAGCCATAGTTTCAGTTTGTTTGTCTGTTTCTGCCTGTCTGATCAGTTCAACGTGAGATGATTTTGGTTGTGCATAAAATCAGTCGGACCGTTAACAATGTGAAACCCAGGGCAAGCGGTGACAATTAACCACAATGCAATGACGGGGGCTACCCACTTTTCGTGGTCAAAACAGGATTGAGATACCTATAAATATAGCCCTAATGGCCATTTATTGTGAGTAGTGGCTGATGTTGCGATGGATCGAAAACTTCGTCCATCCAATGACATTTGTTCATGTCACTTTGTTTCGGGACCGCAAAAAATGCCCAGAGAAATGCATCACGGTTGTCCATTAAGCCACTTATTATTTATGGTTACTGTAATGGACAAAATTCATGTGATGGAGAGGTTGTGTGTGTGTAAGTGGTGGTCACATTTAATTACCGCCACGTCCCGAAAGGTGGCTGGATATAGTCCTGGTTTTTGAAGGTGAGAGGGTGTCCCATAGAATCCGTCTCTGATTCCGTGGTCAATGGATCTAAAAGATTCACCAAATATGTGACACCTTTCTGATACTCAAATGACGGAATGGTGTGATTGTCACGCTGTCTTGCAGTCCACTGAACCATTTTTAGAGATAAAACAATCAAATCGATTTACGATACCGAGGTTGGAACGAGAGAGCCTAATGAAGATAATAGCAGGTGTAAAATCTGATTTGATTAGGTGTCTGCCATGCAGTTATTCAGTGATTCCCTTGAAAATCAATAGACCAAGTGGATGTTCAGCTCACTGGGATGTTGATATAGGAGGAAATCCCAGTTTCAAAAATATCAAAGTAGAATTATGCGTCAGATATTTTTCAAGTGCAACTAACATTCCAACCAGCCTTTACAGTTCACTTCGCACCTGCAAATATAAATTAAATACGGTTCCTGAAACGTATCTAAAACGGCAAATTCAATGCTCACTCAGAAAATAAATTTTTAACCACTGTTCTCAATTGGACTAGTGAAAATCTCCTGCATTTAACTTGCGATGAGTCGAATGTAGTATTTTTCTAGGGCATTTTATCTCACATCTGTACAAATAGCTTTGAGGTTAATATGATGAATGTCCAAAAACGTAAGGAAGACTTGATCCTTTACAGGGCTAACATCGAATTTAACAGGTACCGTAATGGAATTCATTTAGAAGCTGCTGAATTCTTCTGAAGGCGAGATCTGAATATGCTCAAGTCGCTTATTTTAATCAACCCGGACGTGAAGTGGTTGATACAGTGCAAACTCTTTAGTTCTTCATGCGAGTGACTCGAAGTTAAAACCCTCATTGGACAGCCTGGCTTGTACTATTAATGAGCTCCAACAAGTGTGAAACTCGCTGGTAGGCCTTATGGACTGAGTGAACAGAGTACTGTGCATGAGAAGAGGAAGCTTGACAAACGGTTATTCTTCGGAATAAATTATGATCATCCCGCACTACTAATTTGAAGTGATTGTCAATTGAAAATAAAGAAAATGTGAATAAAAGTGAAAAACAAAAAGGCAAATGTGGTACGTGAGGAGTGACTGACTGTAAATAAGACGAATGTTGTACCCAACAGTTTGCTTTAATCACCGGCATTCATATGGTGATAAAAGAATTGAGATACCGCGGGGGTTGGAGTGGGTAGCACGATGATTGATGTCAGCCACATACCACTAGTACATCATATGCAAAGCATACATGCCGATCCCTGATTGCGAATAGACAAATTGCAGACTCACTGTTTAATGCATTCTACTTTTAACAGGGCTCAGCCTTTCTGCATTCTGACTACACCTCTGAATGAAATGACCAGGCTAACGAGTTATCTAATCCTAATCGCAAATGACTCTAATTCCAGTAGTGAGTATGGAGAGAATTTACTTCTCACAGTCCAAAGTGAGAAAATACATTTGAGAACACCACAGAGATGAATGAACATCTACTGAATGCCTTGTGGCGTAAGAGGTGTCCAATAGAAAACGTCAATTGTTCACAATTCTGACTCATCTGTAACAGATTGTCGTATGAAGAAGCAGTCTGTCATCCTCGCAATCAGCTTTTCCAAACACCTCAGTTACAGTTGACTGAATTAGTATGAAACTAATGCGAACGTCATAGCAGAAAAACTGGAACAGACGAGCTTGAATAGTTCGTCTACCATAACTTCTCGAATAGTTCCGAGCGAATCAAAGAGGAGTTTTCAATACAGGCTCAATCTCTAAATGTTTTCACTAATGCTTTTGAGAAGATATGCTGAATATATTTAGATGTTTAGGATCTTTGTGTTCGAAAATTCGTTCATTGGCGTTCAGTTATGAAAATCCACCTTGTTCCCTCTCCTACTATTGCAATTGCCACAATTCTTGGTTGCACTTAAGTAACTTCTATTCAGTGGGTAGTTGTTTTCAGTAATTTCTAGTCACAATTCAGTGATGTATTAAACCTGCATATTCGAAGAACTAACATCAGTACAAAAGGTCACGAGTAGTCCGTCTGGCAGACTAATACTAATCATCTCCGTCACAATCTGCATTACAAGATTCGTTGTTGATAACACCCATAGACTCACCTCGCTTCTTTGAGTGTGCGGAACGGCGACCAAGGTTTCCCAACTTTTCGCCGCCCTCGGTTGTCCGAGACGTGGTAATTTGTGTTCTCCGCCAGTGCCAGTACGACCATCACCACCGCCACCGCCACCACCACTTCCAACTGTCACTGATCCTTCGGAGACCGGGGACTCACAAACGTTGAGCCAGTCAGATCGTTTGAGTTTTAATGATTGTGTAAACTGTCGATCATCACAAAATGATCTATTTGGATTTCTGCTCTTGTTTGAGGCCTGAGTGACTGCACGCACAATACCCGTGCTTGTTTTGGCTCGCGGTTTAATAAGCGATCCGGCTGTGAACTTGGGATGCAGGAATTCCCCATTATTGACCATCATAGTTGTTCCGTTAGTCCCGCCAAATGTGCCACTTGTAATGGGGAATAGAATCCTTCCGGCCGGAATAGCTTCATATGTTCCACTGATGGGAACACGTTCAGTCATGGGTAAACACGTTGTGTACGCTTCGTACGTAATTGGAGAATTCATGCGAAGCAACTTCTGATCAGTGTATTCATTTGTGCTGGCCACTCCGGAACCGGGGATGGAACTGAACTGACAACGCAACAGAGTCCCACTCCCCGGATCGAGTAATATCGGATCCGGATAGTTCGTTGGTGTTGCATTCATTCGATCCGAATCTATGGTTTTCACTGTGAGTGTTCCTCGTTTCATGGGCTCAATCACTGAGTCCGTGAGTTCGTTATTTGTTGTGGCCGAAATAGTGTTGGCATTTAAACTATTCACATGACCGCTACCCACTCGACGGCGTCTGTTGTAATCACATCGACGACGCATACCAAATCCTTTGTGGCCACATAAATAGACTGTGATCCCAAGGAGAACTAGGATTATGGCACAACTCAAAGCGACAATTGCAACCAGGATGGCTCCCGCACTGACAAGGCCAGTTTCTGGTCCTGTTGAGTCTACTTGTCTTTGATCCGCGGAATTTCCACCAGACTGCAATCCCTCACTGCGTCGAAATTGTCCAACCGAAGGCGAATGTTCTCCAGGTAATTGATTGACTGAGTCCTTTTGTTTGGACTGATTGTTAACAAATCGATGGGAATACATCCGTGCTGGTGCGTCGACCACCTAGAAACCATCAACCGTTGTGCATAAGAATAAATTGTAAACATGATATGCAAAACAGCGTATTTTTAGAAACCAAGCGATTAGTTTTCAAACATTTCCGTTACCTATGCCTAACTGTGATTTACACTCGAACTTTGCAAATGTTGCGCTTTCATAAGTCCGCGACTTCGCCAAATCTGTTTGCAAAATGGTTACAGAACACCCGAACAAACTTAGTAATGACCCCATCTCGTCATATAATATGAGAATGGATTCAACGTGCGATTTATATATTCAATAGGTCAATCCGGAAAGTGTGCATTTATCACGATGACGCTGAACCATGGTTAAACACTCGCGGCCACCTAAATGATGCAAGGCAGAGCGGATTTCGCATAACGAAAGGATCTAAAACATAATCGATAAGAAACATGGCTGCTGAATATCGATCTACCTTTCGGAGTGTATAAAGCGAATACTTGAATTGACTTGAATTCAAACCCAAAAGGAATACTGCCGATAACGTTTGCTACGGAGCAAAATAATTTCAATAATCACAAACGTGTGACGCGAATTTCAATTTTGACGGCGGGTAAAAACTTCGGTGGTGGCCCAGTGGTAACGTTACTAAATTAGCACATCGTCAGGTGTGTTCCTATCTCTACCGCCTGTCTCCCTATTATGTGTTGTAAGACAGTCCTTTAAATTGCCGCTCCCTACTTCCTGAAAACCTTATCGTTGTATATTCAACAAAAGTAACGGTGAAGAGAAAAGAAAACAATTCTCCAAGTAAAGGTTATGCTCTTATCATCTGGCTGACTTTCAACGGAGGTTCGCAGCGTTTCAAAGGCCGACGAAAACTTTGGCGTGATGAGTGCGAAAGTAGCAGAAGCTGTAAATGAGTCTGGTACGCAAAATAGGGTTTTCCACATCCAAATCATAACGGGAGAAGTTGAATTCGATGATGTGTATGTAGGTATCATAGACATGTATACAATCAGCTTCACTTATCAAGCTCCTCTTTTCAAAGTGGTTAGTTTCTCCAGTGAAGAGAGTAAGAGCCAGAACTGCATCAAAGAGAGTTCTACCGCAACCAACTGGACAAATCTAAAAAACAGTTTTGCATTCTAAATTCGCACGCTATCTGTTAGTTCACGGGATTGCGACTAGCTGTCTGTAATCCGACTGTATCTACGGTGTTATGTTGGTGATTAATATCGTTTAAACAGCAATGCACGCGCAACTCGGTCATTTTTTACTCATTTTCAAAAAAAGTCCTGATACGCATAACAGCCACTTCGGCAAAATGAAGCCACTCTCTTTGCCGGCTATTATGGCAGCGTTGGCGCTTGATCACTTTATAATCTGTTTGACTTACAGGGAAAATAAAGGCTGGGAAAAGTGTACCTTATGCAACACCAGAAGCAACAAGGTGAGCAGAAGGTTTATCACCTTTGAACCACCTATGAATTAAATACGGTTCAACCTGTAATCATTCGGATAAACACCACTTTTAGTAAGCAGACTGAACAATACCGATCTATCAACGCCGATCTATCTATTTGTCAATCTATCAATCAAGATAAGCAACAGCTTCGAGTGGGAAGTGCGGCGGGCGATAAATAAGATCATGTTAAGCATATCTAGCACATTTCGGAGTAAACGAAAGTAGTGAGAACCCCTCAAAGCAGCATCAAATGACCGGCTTTGGAACGGTACCTCTAACATTTCTTTTTTAGTCACAGAAATTCTCTTGACGGGGAATCAGTCAGGACTTTCCCCACTTGTTGGGCAGTCACTGAACTGTAAGGGAGTTCATGCATCCCTCAGTCAGAATACGTGCCCATCCAGAGTAGAAGTTGTAATTATGCCCTTTTTCCGCAGCTGTTCGAGAACCAAGGCGGGTTCATCGATTAGCGTCGCCGTAGAGCTCTTGAAAACAGGCAGAGTCATACGCAATGGGTTTCGGTTGAACGAATCGAGTCTTTCAACACTAAGGGTTTCTTTGTTGTGATCATTGGAACAGTAGCGTGGGAGTTGGTAGATTTTACATGTTAAGATAATTGAATTTGTCCAGGATGTTTCTTATGTACAACTATTTCGGGCGTTGGTTGTCAGATTTGACCAACCTAGTAGGTTTTTATTTGGATTCTCTATCAGTGTTCGAAACCTATTTCTCTCCTCCAGCCCGATTGCTCAAGTAGTGGTTACGAATATCGATTGATATAAATAATGACCGATTTGAGAGGACAACAATGATTGAAGGAGACATTTTGCTAATTGGTAACATGTTCACAGAAGACGTAAGGGTTCTGGCAGAAAACATCGACGAAATCTATTACTAAATCAAAGGTCTTCAACTTTAGGTTCTAAGATGAAAAATCGATTATGTTCACTTTCCAAAGTGGTTTTCTTGATATTGTGTATCTGTTTCATTACAGCTTACAAGTGAACATACTTCGAGGATACCGTTATCAGAGCCACCTATTGGAGCACTCTTCTGAACAAAGAAAATTTGTAGTCTGTTTGTCAAAACGAGGTCTATGAGATTAATGGAGGATTTCATTTGTTCATGTGATGAATTCGTCGTGTAAGTGAGGCGTGAGCTGAAAAGCTGGAAAACACTGTCGATTCCAAATGAGAAACGGTCTCATCAGCTGCCCGATGGTAGAGTGGGTAGTATGCATGCGTTCTACCTGTGAGGTCTCGGGTTCGATCCCCAGTTGAGTCGATTGATTCGCACTGCTGATGAGACCCAACCAGGTGGCAACAGCTGTCCAGTGCTTTTTAGTTTTTCATTTCAATCCTCATTTCCACGACGAATTTATCATATGAAAAAACGCGATCTAGTTGTGCACCAAGTCTTGTCGGAATTGGTACAAAATTTTGAAAGTTAAAGATGACGATCAGCATAACATCATACCCGTGTAGATACGCACCATTCGTCACTTCCCCTTGAAATTAAGGAGGTAAAATAATCTGTCTTCGCTCAGATGTAATGTATTAGGTGCCGGGTAAGTATTTACGGAAGTTGTAAAACGAAGTTCACTGAAAATGTGACTTTCAGTGAATTACGCAGTAGATGTTTTTAACGATTCAGCCATCCCCAACAAGAGTTAGTTCATTTGCCCCAGTTGTTCACGTAATTGGCAGTATCTCGCCAATTACGGAGGGGGAATACTCAGATACAAATTAAAACAATATTATATCATTGAAAATTCCTTTTTTCAACAAAGATTCTTGTAGAATAATTATTTTTAGTTAGTTCTGTGTGTAATGGTTGTTACTTCATCGACTTTTCCCAATAAAGAATAAACATTGCTCGTTAAAATCAGAGAACTTGATGTTGTTTTCTAGCATTATCACGTCTGAGAGCCACTTGTGAGCTTGTTTAATGTTTCCGGATCATAGTAACACGCTTTTCGATTGTCCGCTCTAACTCCTTTCTCATTATATTGACATAAATAACCAAATATGTAGTTTGTGCGATAACAAACAGTTATTGAATGAAGGCGCTCTTATAGGATAGTTAAGGTAACTACAAATTAATCAGGATGTACAAAAAGCAATGCACTATGATGCTTGGGCGAAATGCATAGTACATCTGAGGTCAAAGACCAAGAAGATAAAAATTAGTATTATTTTTCACCATAAAATGCACAAATAAATCGATGGAATTTTAAGCAATATTTTATGTACCTTCACAGTCAACTTGACATGCGCAGACCTCGGAGGCACCCCGGCATCTTGAATGAGTACTTCTAACGGATAGGTGCCGATATCAGCTTCCGAAAGTGGATGATTGACAATCAGTTCGGCCGATGTACTTCCCAAGCGAAATACCGAGTTCCGGTTTCCTGTGACCAAACTGTAATGAAGCAAGGCATTGTGTCCTTCATCTGGATCACGTGCTTCGATTCGTGCGACAACCTGGAGAAACCACGTTCACAAGAAAAGTTTGTAAAAGTCACAAACCAGTGTATCGGAAGCGAACACTTTCTGATGTGCAGACAATGAGCATCAATAAGTGATCGATATAACGAATTTAGGTGTTCTTTTTCAGGTATTTGTTGACAAGCGTCGCCGACACATTATCACTGACAGTGATGATCTGTTACAGCTTTTGTAAACTACCAATTGTTTGGAGCTATTCACAATTAGCTTAAATTACAGATTGTATTCAGTTTCACAAATGAACTGATCAGCTTGGGCTCAAAAAGGTCCAGTATTGTCACCATACTCAGGAAATACTCCTGGGGAAATTATCCTATTGTTTTTTCAGTGTTCCTACGGACAAATTGACGTTCAGACTAATATTGATCTATTAGGTGGATGAAGCAATCACGTCTTAAGCGCTTCATTAATAATTCAGCTGGATGCGAGTTAAATGCCTGCTTTGATGTGGTGCAATAAGTAAGCCTTGCTTGTTTCGTTGGTGTACAAACATTTCCCGAGGTATACAACTGAGAATTCGATAGAAGTAGTGTCGTTATTTCAATGTCATTATCCAACCTCTAGTCACCATTCATTTTCATGGACTAAATCATTTATCAAATTAAATTGGATTCATCACAGAGAGCTGCATGTGGATAACTCAGTACAAGTTAGCTTGAGGTAACTCAGAGATCTCTAAATCAACCAAATATCGCTCAGTTACATTTGAAGAATACAAGTAACTGAATAACAGAAGGGGAAAGTTTTAGGTATGCACATCCGATGAGTTAAAGCAATCACAGAAAACCCAATCTTGCGACCCTATAGAAAGTTATTCCAGTCATTCATCTATGTTTAGATGTCTCCTGATGAGAGTATGTTACATAAACACCTTCCCACAATCTTAATCGCTTTCGTAATCCATGGTCTCATTCTGAGAAAAGATAAATTGCCAGTCGGTCACCAAAGTAATAAATAAATAAAAGGAAGGAATTTTACTGCAGAGTCGATAGCAATTTCGCGTTATGAAACCACATAAATAGTCACATACACAGACAGTTAACGTCAGCTTCACTGAAAAGTGTCATGTGACAAATGCAAATGCAAAATCGAGTCGCGTATCCCGGAGTACCCAATAACTTAGAATCTTAAATATTCTCTGTATGAGTTCGTTTAGGAAATGAACAGTTGACCAACAATCTGAATCGGTGGTGCTGTTGTTGAGAGAAGAATGGAAGTGGCGAAAATATAGATCATTTGTTGATCGTGGCGCATGTTGGCTGGACTAGCTACGGCTCCAGTTCATTTCTAACGAGAGGTTCGGTTTTCTGTTCACAAATAAAATTTAAAACCAAAGCCAACAACCATGGATGTATTCTAATTTTCCAATGAAGTTTAAACGCCATTGTTGATCTTCAGTTTTTGTCAGAAATCTGAGAGCTATTCCTCTTATGTTTAAGTTGAAACAAATACATAGACGTAGGCAGACGCATTTGCACTGTATACGGGCGTCCTGCGAATCAACGAAATCACACCACCAACTCAGATATTCTCACCTTTGATTACTTACTTCAAATGGAACCCATCAATGGGCACATGAGTTGGAGTTGAATCTAACTTTCATTGGCACATACTAGCAATCATACTCACCAAACAAGAAACCTTACGCTCAAGGAAGGACAAACCGGTAGTTAGTAGAGGTAACGTTGATATTTTCGAGTAGTTCATTGAACTCTGGTTCATTTTAATGACTTCAAATTGTAACCGAAATCTGTTTACCTCTCCCGGGGGTTCCCGAAACGACACTGTCACATTGCCACGACCGTTGGCCGGGAATACCACAATCGGATCGTGATCGTTAACATCGGAGACGTAGATCACCACCTTGGCCGTGGCCGATCGTGTCGGACGTCCGTGGTCCATGAGCATTGCAATCAGCTCGTACTGAGCCTGCTTCTCTCGGTCTAAACTATGCAATGTGGTCAATTCACCCGTGTTTGGATCCAGTTTAAACGAGCCGGATGAGGTGACCAGTCGAAACTTCAAACGTGCATTCTCTTTGGCATCGTTATCTGTGCCCAATAAGATTCCTGCAGATGAAACAGAAGAGCGGAAATTTGCGTTATTTATTGGGAGAAAGTTAATCAGTTCCCGGTACCCTAGTTGTAGTGTGGCTGCAGAATCACTATTCTTTCGTTCACCTCCGGAATAGCTCTGTTTGCAACTCCAAAAGTGAAAAGCAAAAGCGAATAAGTGTTACACGCTAATTTGTTGTGCTTTTTTGCATCGTTTCACTAAATAATGTCCTACTTTTTTGGGACAAAACACCACTTTACGATTTACAGTTTTAAGCGAGGGTTTCAAGCATTCCATGGTAGTTAAATGACGGCTCAGTAGCAATGAACTGCCTCATGTTTCCATGATTGTTTTGTTTCTCATATCCTACCGGATAAACACCCTGATATCTCAAGTGCATTGCGGTCGATAGCGAAACCGCACCAGTAACACATTGCACAAAACCACTCAAGTTGTTCAATGCCGTGAAAGATTCTGGTGCCCAAGTTGGAAGGAATAATGCCAGTCGCAATGTATAATGCAACTCGCCAGTCGCATTTTAGTTTGCCTCAGTGAGGAGGAATAGAGCATCATGTGACCTTTTTGTCATAAGTTGACTCTTCTCAACAGGCTAGGGCTAACCTTTGTTTGAACGAGTAGCGAACAGTCTCGTATCTGGTAACTTCTTAATTTAGCTAATATACATATATATATCTTTAAATTTACGTGAGTTGTACGGATTTCCAACAAATAATATGTGAATGAATATGCGATGATTCGGCGATATGAATGTGGTGAAGAGTGGTTGGGAAATACGTAAAACAAAAAAGACATGGTGATGAGTGGTTTAATATAGGGTATCGAGGTACCAAGAGAGGGATGAAACAGGATGGGTGAGGTCTTATACTTCCGATTTAGGTAAAAGGTCGTGTTCTTCTGTGAGTGTCATGATGCGGATCTTCATTCAATTACGAAACCTCAAGGAAACCCTGGTTATAAAGGAGCTAATCATTGCTTGTTTTTTTCATTCCCTTTATTGAATGCACGCAGGTATAACTTTCACGAAGGGAAAATCGGCCAATCGAAAGCTGTGGGATTTGAGCACACGTCCTGCGAGGTGATTGTTTGGTGACGTTACGACCGGGCCACCACCGCCCTCTCATGTGTTATTTTCTTACCCAAACCCCCAGTTACCTCGCTGCTGAGACAATGGCTGATGTTTTGTTTCTCTAAGTTACTTCTTGAGAAAACACGAAATAGTGAAGAAGCTTGATTTCAATAACTTTTCACTATGGAGAACTTAATTATATCACTTTGTTAAGGGGATATTAGCTTTGCATACTATTTTAGGTGTGCGCTCGAATCGAATTGTCAGGTAGCGTAAGTGGACTATTTCGTTTGAAATCGAAATGACTGTTGGGTGGCTGGGAACTAAAGAAAGAAACATGAGGGTCTAAATAGCTCATTTGACGTTTGGTTCACTGAGTCCCGGGAAGGTTCGACCGCTATCATGGAACTGAATTCACACCGCGGCCAGGGCAGTTGAAATCCTTTGACATCTCGCTTATTAGAATAATGCAAAGGAGTGAGCAGTCGGATGTCATCTGCCTCTGTTGCTTATAAATCTGGTTGATAAACAGACCCTGATCAATGATTAGGAGGTATCCGGTAGATTACTTTATCAGCATTTTCATCTACTTGTTGATCAGTGCTCTCTGTGAGAACTAACTGATTGTTCTACCACTGCAGTTTACTGAAAATGAGAACGCAAAGCATCATGTAGTTAACTTCTTTGTTTCGATGGAATTAAGCATGCCGGTTTCACAAATGCCTAGTCTCAAATCCATTCATCCACTAACTGCTCCGTTGATTCATGACCTTGCCGTTGCTGAACTTGCCATAAACAATATCCCAACCGCAACCCCGGTCTCATGCTGGACACCCCGTTTGCTTGTCATACGTGTTCATTCCGATATTTTTACCATGTGCTCGCCCTTGATCCAGGTAAGTCACCCATGATCCTGTTCATATTGGCCGCCTGATTATCCATCAGTTTGTGAGTGCTGAGAACCGCTGAATCTGTCCGCCAGCATGTTTTGTTCGCCGTCCAACCTTTACTCACGTATGACTTACGAAACAATCTGTGTGTATGCTTTCTGCGTAAACGAATGACAGTTGCCCGCTACCTTATGTCCGTGATTGGTGGTTCGTATCCCTTAATTACTCACCTTATTTTTGCTTCCGATAGCCGTGAAGCAAGCTTCCTCGTAACCATGCCTTTACCTTGTTAGACTGACTTTCTTTCCCATGCGGGTTACCCCGAAGTTGAGGTACGTCGTTTTGATTCATTTATGGTTCCATAGTGTTTTAGATATTAGCTTTAGTTTCCAGCAAAATAATCACCGATAAACAAATTCAGTTGCCACGGAAAGCCTCTTCGAGTCTATCGTAGATTTCCTTTCGTCCGATGAGTTGAAAAATAGGGCAGCTGATGTCTAAGAACGGCTCACATTATTTAAATGAGAAGACGATTCAGACGACTGATAATATTTATACTCGTCATAGGACCAGAGCAACAATAAATGATTTCTGCTCCAAAAGAATGAAACAGTTATGCTAAAAAGTGAGTTTCTCTCGGGAGGAAAACATTTGAAACACTCTAACGGTAAGGAGAAAAGATAATTTGCAGGACTTTAGGTAGCAAGTTTTTAGATGGACTGATGAACACACGTTTTTTATTTTGATGTCAATCACGTTGAAACGCGATGTGTTGAAAACGCTGTTCCATTGTGCACGTCTGATACGCACCGTGCACATGGTTCGGGCGGAGTATGGTAGACTCAGTTGTTGTTGCTGATACTGGTTGCCTTTGCAATTTGAACAAGAAGAAAAAGGAAAGTAGCTGTATTGATGTCTCCAAGAAGAAGGCCTCCTCTTTCTATCCCTGAAACCACGCACACATGATATACCATTACGAAAGTGGATGCGGTATATCGTATTTTTCGGTAAAACAGAGAGTAGTAGCATATCGGAGTTAAACAAAATATCTCTTTTCTGGAGAGCAAGATGTGTTGAATTCAACTTTTAGTGATAATCTCATTGTGTATATACATTTAGATCACATATGGTTAAAAGGCCGGGGGATAAAGGTACAGGCAAAATCATTATCATGGAGTAAAGAGTGGCAACTACACATGCCAAAAACCCGTGCTTCCGTCAGGCGAGCGCTGACGAAATGAACATTTATTCTCATAGTGTTGCTCTAACTTGATTCTACCTATCTGGTTGGAACGTGCGGTTAGGCATTATTGGGCGCAGTTTATCAGTCATCAGATTTGGAAATAAGTGAGCACACACGGGAAAGAATAATCAGTGCCGTGGACAAAGGTCACGAAAACTCGAACTGGATCGGACTCAGTGGCCGGAAGCGTGATCACTGAGGTGGGGAATAGTCACGGTAACTCTGACAGGGAAATGTCAACAACAAAATCGATCTAAATTCACAAAAACCGGTTTTGTAAAGTAGAACTGCAGCTATGTTGGCGAACCCCAGTGAACGGCGAACCTTGTAGCAAATTTTGACACAAAGGGTGTGTTTAGGGTCATCTTATTTGCTGCAATCAATTATACGATTGCTCATTTGGTTTGTGCCACCTTTTTGATATTAACTGTGATCCCGCATAGCTGAATTAATCTGAGACTCAGTTCGCTCTCTCCCTCAACCGGACACGACACTGTCTGATCACCGGTTTGTAATGTTTGTGATACTCTAGTTGTTACTTATTTTTCTGTCCTGTGATGATAGCGCTCCTGTTGTGCACAGTCGAAGTTGACTGAACGCCTTAAAGATTTGAGGCTGTCGGCAAGATATCCGTTCTCGTTCTTGGTAGCTGGGCCATCATCGGAATGGTCGTTGCAGCTGACCCACACCATCGATTGATGGAAGAACCCGATTGATTGTTAGTGCTTATCGGATCCGTAGTAGAGAACACGGAGAGAACCCATTGTGCTCATACAGAATGGCCACAGCAGATTAATGTTCATGATGCTTCTTCGCGCTCTAGTAAAATTGTTGAAGGGATCTGGTTGCATAAAAACATCCCATGCTGGTTTAGCAGCCTATAGATAATGATCGTAGGTCACTCTCCAAATATGATCTCTCAACTAACCCCCCCTCCATACCACAAGGACAAAGAAAACCCTTAGGACATTATTAATCTCCACTCTCTCCCATGAACGTCGGTCGCACGAGCAACGTGTCTCGACCACTCTGGTGATAACACGTCGTGCGCAATCTGTGCAAGCTATATAGACTTTACAAAATTGGGTTGTCTCGGGGACCACAGGTTCACGGAATCCGTCACATTTAGAAGAAAGAGATGTGGCCTGAAAGTGTGTGTGATTGTGCTTACGTGTGCCAAAAGAACTGTCAGATGCACATTGACTGCCTTGGCACGGAACACTGGGTCCAGTCTTATTTGTTTGTAAAAACTAGACAAACGATGATTGACTCCTGATGAATTCAGGTCACCCACCTGCAGAATTGTGACCAATTATGTTTTGAACTGTTCAACGTCTAAAAAACTGAGCTATCAAACGATACAAATTGTCGCACTATATACAAGTGGAGAAACAGTGAAATCCGTCTGGGCACGAATCATGCCAACAATCCGCGTGGTCTTCCGTCTGGCAGAATGTTTTGTTAAGAATGCTGCATTTAACGTTTTCTTCTGTGGCTTTTGCCTTCGATAGAGCGTGTAATGACTTGTTTTATACTGTCCCATTGCTGATGTGATTACACGTGATCGAAATAACTGTGAGTCGTGTTTGCTACAAATGTGAATCAAAGCATGTAGCGTTCCAATTTTTCGGTACTTTCATCACCTCAAATAATTTTATCAGCGTATGATGGTCATAGCCTCTTCAGTTCACAATCAAAGGGGGCTCACAAAACTGTTGTTGTCAATCTAAAAACAGTCAACTGCACAATCAGATGCCGCAACCTGATCATACGCTTTTTGATATAGCATCTGTA